GTGAAGTGTGAAACAGAGATGTATGCAAAAGAGCTACAGCTTAATATGCAGGATGACCTGATGTGCAAAAAATTATTCATGTTCAAAAATAGGTCAGCTTGTTCAAGAGTCTGATCGCAGAGGGGAAGAAGGAGTTGTTGAGTCTGGATGTTCTGGATTTCACACTTCTAAACCTCTGTCCCGAGGGCAGAAGCGTGAACAGTCCGTGTTGGGGGTGTGTGGGGTCTTTGAGGATGGAGGCAGCTCTCCTTTGGACTCTGCGATGGTAGATGCTCTGCAGAGAGGGCAGCGGAGTCCTGATTATCTTCCCTGCAGTTGTTATCACTCTCTGCAGGTGTTTGCGGTCCATGGCAGTAGTGCTGCCGTACCATGCAGTGACGCAGCTGTAGAACCTGCTGAGGATCTTGGCCGACATGCCAAATTTCCTCAGCCTCCTCAGGAAATACAGCCGCTGCTGAGCCTTCTTGACCAGCTGTGTGGTGTTCAGTGTCCAGGTGAGGTCCTCAGAGATGTAGACGCCCAGGTATCTAAAGCTGCTCACCCTCTCCACTTCAAGGCCCCGGATAAACAGCGGCTGGTGAGGCCTCCTCTTCTTCCTCGTGTCCACTATCATCTCCTTTGTCTTTTCAGTGTTGAGGGTGAGGTTGTTGTCCTCACACCATGACACCAGACTGGCCACCTCTCTTGTAAGCCACTTCGTCCCCTCCAGTGACGCGACTGATCACTGCAGTGTCGTCCACGAATTTCAAAATTATGTTATCTTTGTTGGAGATGACACATTCGTGGGCGTACAGGGTGTAGAGGATGGGACTGAGGACATTTGACATTATATATGGAAAAACTGAGATGCAGAGTTGAAGTTGCGCTTTCTTATATTGAGATTCACATGTAGTTAAGCTTCTTTACTCTGACAGAGCGGGGCGTTTCACTGGTCAGGGACACTTAAGACCAAAGTGGGCTGAATGTGGCCCACAATCCACAATCAGTTGGACATCCCTGCTTCAGGCTAACCATCTCCTGCCCCCAGCTCCGTGTGTACATGTATGATCACTAGTGACACTACTAAACACTGTTAAAAGGTTTTTATTCTACTCTAAATAAAAATCTGATCTGTTTCTATAAGACATATTATGAGTATAATAAAGAGTAGCGGACCAAGAACAGATCCCTGAGGAACTCCGACTAAATTTTGATTTGATCAACTAAAACATGAAACCTTCAGTACTTTCAGAGTCCATTTTTTTTTTTTAAACTGAAGAAATTAACTATTACAGCTCATGAAAACATTACAGCAGTACCCAGAGTCATTTTAACATTTCTAAAATTACAACAACAATAACTATTGCAAACCGGGAAATAATCTGGTTTATAAGGACTGCAGTCTTTTAACACTTTTTAAATTAATGTTTTCTAAGTACAAAATATAATGTCATTTGTTTTATTTTGCTTAATTTTCATTCAGTTAATATCTTTTTCTAATTTTTAGAGAAGCTTTGTGGAAAAGAAATCGTTTGGGAGCAAAATATTTCACAGTTCCAATCTGTTTTAGTTTGTTTCATAACTGAAATGTCATTCATTTATTTTCATCTATGTCAGATGAGAAACAACTGTTCATCAACTGTGTGGTCTGCCTACATTTTGGGTGAACTTACCATTAAAGGTCATGGGAAGAGAATGGGTTATCTTAATGAACCCACACCGGAGATCTGGAAGCATTCGCGCTGGAAGACGAACAGGAAACATGTTGTCAGAGGGAGACCTGAGCGGCTTCGAGGAGCTGTTACTCCCCTCAGCATTTTCACAGCTGCAGGCTTGTTGTGCAGACAGTCAAGGTCTCGGAGCCATTTGTGGACGTTTTCCCCCGTTGATAAAGCCAAGGTTCACCATACCTTATAAATCATCAGTGAGGAATGGCAGGAAATGTTCATTGTATCAAGGCGGTGTTTGAAGCACACCAGCTTGGATGTTTTCAGTCACACTTGTGGGAAACAAGAATTGCACTTTGATGAAAAAGTAATCAACATCTACACTCCTGTTTCTCCCCATCGTGTATTCACCTCTCTACAGTAGTACACTTAAGTTTTCCAGGTTGGAAAAAGGACAAAAACACAGAAGACATACATTTCTGAGGAATCTCATCTGTCCATGTTGTAAGGTTGTATCCTCATTGCCCCGATGCCACAGGCGGTAACCGGGGAACTCCACAAGCCTGGCTTCAGGTGGAAAGCTTCAGTGCATGGGCCTTTTGGGAGGCTTTCTCTGAGGCATCACAGGCATTTGACATGGAATAAGGTAACACGTCTGTGAAGTGAAGCAGCAGAAGCTGTTGGTTTTTACAGACCTCACCGGACCATTAATCCTCAAGTGTCCAAGTTAGTGACTGAAGCGGCTCTCTTATGCAGGACTACATTTTTATTTACGTTTTTCTTCATTTATGCTTATTATAACGTTCTCCATTTCTTTTGAAAGCTGACATATTTTTAAAAACAATGTCATTAATTGTGGTTTTTAATCACCCATCAATTTCATATCCATCTCTCTGACTCAGGCTTGCAGGAGGGCAGGACCACAGTGAACAGGCTGTTAGTCTTTCTCGGGGCTGACACACACACACACACACACATCACTAATGATGCTGACTTCTCAAAAACTTCAGTATCTTATACAGAGACACATTTTTTATCAAGTTATTTTACATCGCGGGCCACATGCAGGCCACTTTGAACTTACGTGAACCGGACCAGTGAAGCTTCACTATCCGTCTCTGAAGAGATTTACCTACAAATTTGATCTCAGAGACGTGTGGAAACAGGAAGCGCAGTTTCAACCACATATCTGTTTTTCTGCACGATAAAGAAATGCTGCTGTAATGAACTGAAGAAATCTGTCAGCACAACAGATACTGTGGACCAGCTGTAAAAAAAGGAAACTGCAACAGTAGATAGAAAAAAGAAAACAGAATTTTCTTTAAGGGTTTATTTATTTGTTGGTTATTTTGTCTTTTCATTAGGAAAAACTACCAAACTTGTGAAAGTTCATATTTTGCCGTCGAGCGGGCCAGATTGGAGTCTTTGCCAGGCCAACTCGGCATTACAAGGTAAATGCCGCCGACATGTGAAGTCTACTAACTTAGGATTTAGGTAACGGGGCTCCAAACATGGTTCAGGTATGAAGATGTCAGCATGAAACCCTCTTCCGTCACAGCAAACCAAATGGACAAAGTTCACTCCAAACGCAAACTCAATATTATAAGAAACAATTTATTAATAATCATAAATTGCAGGGGAGAAAAAAACCATTAATTCCATTTTTTCATCATAACATCTTAGGATAAAAGCACCAACATCAAACAGTAACAATGTTTCCATGAAAAACCGAGGGCCTTTTGGAAAGTAGGTTTGCCATTATTGCACCTCAAACCTGCCCTGGCTTCACCAATCAGAGAGCACTATACACATCCTGTAGGTCACGCGTGTCCTTGAAGGTTAACCCCAATTCAACGAGGGATTCAAACAAGACACCGAACCTCCTCCTTAGAGACGCAAATCTAGACAGAGGCATTTGTGAGATGAGGAAGATGCTGAATGTTGTAGCCATTTCACAGCTTCTCGAGATCAGATCGCTCATAAAGCTCGGACTGATTGTCGGGGGTTGGGGTGTACGTGCCAGCAGGACTGCGTCTGAGGAGATCTGATGAGGGCAGCTGATACATTTTACCTTGAAATACACTGACTGAATGGTGGCCCTGGTCCTGAGTTGGGTCGTAGAGGGACTTTGTCATGCCACCTGAAGATAAATTAACATAAGATGCAGCAGATTACGAAACTTGTTCTTTCAAGCAGTGTGGGGAGTTCCTGAGTTAAGACCTTTGGCAGGATTTCGAGTAAACAGCCTTGACTGCAAAGCTCTCAAAGATTATCTACGAATAATGTACCAGGATGCAGTATCATGCAGAACTGCACAGCTTTAAAGCCAAATCACACCCCAGAAATACATTTAAAAACTATAAAACTGCTTAAAATCTGTATGTAATGAATGGAATCCCTGCCACCTTCCTCAAAGTGCTCTGACAGGCACGTACACCCCCCCTCCGCCCGCCAGTGTCCCTCCAGATTAAAGATTGAAAGGTTAGACTGGGCTGTGAGAAAAGCCACCAGGTGAGCTTGGTGTAAGATTCTTAAACCATAAAACCCTGCAGCACAACAGGAGGAGTAGTATTCATCAATAGCTGCAATTTCCTTGTTTTAAGTGAAGGAGAGCACCGTGCTGTCTGACTAGTAGTATTAAAAACTGACAGAAATCTGAAGACACAATCAAAAGCATAACATGTAACTGCAATCTTATCAAACACCAAGAATAAGAAAATCAAAACGCCATCAACAATAATTACAAAACACCTCTCAGTGCTGGTAACAAATGGACTAGTCTAATTCTAAAATGACTTTTTCTCTTCACTTGCACACAAGTGCACGGGACAGGAGTTTTATTTTTCTATAAAGCTTTGATTATTACACTAATATTCCCTTAGATATGCGCTGGCAAGTGAAAAATAAAAAAACAACACAAAAACAAAAACACACACGTACAAACTGAGCTTTAGTGTAATCCCACTATCAGAGGAAAAAAGGAAGCCTGTCTGATATCACGCACACTCACACACACACACACTAAGACAAGTGTTTCACATCAGCTCACGCGGCAAGGTACGGCCTCGTCTACAGGCGGTGTGTGTAAAGAGGCTGACGCGCAGTTCTGTATGCACCAGTGAAGATTTCGATTCTAAGGTCTGAACTGCCCTCGCTTGGAAACAGAAGCACCATTTTTCATGCAGAATCTGGGTTGGTAAAAAAAAATTTAACGCCAAAAACAAACCAAAAAACAACAACAACAAATCAAAGAAGTGAAAATACCTGAAAAAAGTGATAACAGTTCTAGTACTGGAATCTGGTGGCGTTCGAGCCGTCGCACCTTTGTGTAATAAACACACAGCCTCTGAGTTTGTGGCTGTGGGGTGTGTGTGTGTGTTTTCAGGTGCTGATGTGCAGCCATGTTAAGGTCCTCTGGTGGCAATGCTTTGCTCTGCTTCAAGCCTCCTGTTACAGGGTGAATTTAAGGGTCACAATGCCAGCACCAAAACACCCCTTTCACATATATATATATGTATATATATTTATATACTTATATATATTTATATAGACTGTATATAGTTACTTATTTTATATACCTTTCTGTTTATGACAGAGATGTACAATTAAAGAAAACTTATGTACAAAAACAGTGTGTCTTGTTCACCAACAGCGGGCCGATGTATGTTTAAAACATTAACAGGGGCCCCCGTGGCCGTCGCTCGGACCCCGAGCCGGCTGCACGAGAGCACTTTCATCCAAAGGTGGCGTCTACAGTTGTACACGATGCATTCAAAGAACGAGACAATAGCATATTAAATATGAGAAAGGAAATGCCAAAAAACGGCTTTACAAATGTCCCTGTGTACAGCACCAAGTACTCGACTTGTTTTTGATGTTTTCATTACAGAATAAATAAGATCAGGCATAGTCCAAACTTAGCACCATTGTTTTCAGACTGTGAGTCAAGTACACACACACTAATGCATTCTACAATGTCAACACAATTCAGGATTTAAAAAAAAAAAAAAAAAAAAAAAAAGGCAAATGGAAAGATCGACAGCATAAATATAATCATCTAAATTATCCACAACTATACAGTCAGAGAATGAATCACATTCACAGTACAAACATCGTTTACAAAAACAAATGACACCGTTTTTAAAAGCAAACAAAGAGGTGTGAAAAAAGTCCAGTAGTTTGTTGTGGTTATGGTCAACTATGTTTTCCCAGTGTGTGAGGATTTGCATGCATGACTCTGTGTGTGTGTGTGTTTAAACTAAACGCAGTAAAATTTCACATGTCAGTCCACTTTCATTTAAACCTGCTTTTCCTAACAGCACGGATAAATATGAATGCATGGATCTCTACTGTTAAGCTTAGCTTACAAAGAGGAATATTTCTGTTGCCGTTTGTGTGACTTCACAACCCGACGGGAAAGAAACAGTTAATAAATACACGCAAACTGTTGTTCTTGGACACGTGGATTCAGCTGTTTGCTGAACCTTAACAGAGCAGCCACAGTGACGAGTGGCTGAAGAGCACCATTTCATTATTTTTTTTTTTTTTAAACAAATGTTAACGTACTCGGCGCTGCGTTGCATTACTGGCACCCAAAGGCATGTTATTAATTTACCTTATCCTCAAAATAAGGCCAAAATCAACATCCGCAGATGTTTTCCTCATTCCTCTCATCCTTCGAGAGATTTGTCTGATTATTGCTAACATTAAATATCTGACATTAGCAGAAAAACAGATACAACTTAACTTTAAGGAAATAGCTACAAAATATTTAGTATTTTTTGAGACAGAAGGAGTCAGAGCAAGCCAAACAGACACAATCTAATTTATTCTTTGGCTTTGAATTAAGCACCAACAACTCATTGCAGTTTGTCACAAATTTAAATATGAAAACACAGTAAATACAGTAAATCATGAACATGGCACGGGTGCCAACTAACACAAGCAAGGGCTTGTACATCTTCTGCTACGTGAGCTTAATATCCAGTGCGAAGTTAGACCAAAATACGAAGTTCCTCATTTTGTTACGCAACCAAATATATTGCAGCAAATACAGAATTTCACCGAGGGAGGAAATAACGCATGCACGCAAAAGCAAAGGTGCTTGACGTCTGAGCAGAGTTCAATGAACCGGCTCTGTGTGTGTGTCTGAGTGTGTGTGTGCGTGACTCGTGAAGTGAAACTTTGGGGGGGAAGTAGACCCTGGTTTATCCGGTCGTTAAATGATAATTCTTTTTTTTTTCTGATTTTGCTGAATCCCGGTTGCTATAATTGGCACCAGAACAAAGAAACTACATATGAACAGATTAGATAGCACCTTAAAGTCAAACACGATATTTAAGTTCACTCAGAGCTGGACAACACTACTCCACACACAAACATGACCAGTACCTATGAATTCTGCTCAGGGTGACCATAGTGGTGGTTAGTGTGTGTGTGTGTGTGTGTGTGTGTGTGTGCGCATGTGTGTGCGTGTGTGTGTGTGTAAGAGAGAGAGACAAAGATCCCAGTACAGAAGCCGGTCTTGGAGGCGATTGGGTAGTGCAGAGTTTGAAGCACCAGTGAATGAGGAGAGTGCCTTGGTCCACACCTGGACATTTGCATAGTTTATTTAATGTTGAGGTAGTTTCCATCAATTACCTGAAACATTCAAAGACAGACGAGGACATCATGAGTGATTCTAAGGCTTCCAGAAATAACACAGCAAAAACACAGACAGCTGATTGAGCATTGAGCCTTTACTTTTAATCTAACACCTACTTCTCTTACCTTGTTCAATCAGACAAACAGCTTGCAGAAGCACATGGAAAACAGGCATCCTGTCTCTCTCACTCCCTACCAGCCTCTCTCGCTCACCCTCTATCCACCCTCAGATTGTTCTCCGCCCTTCCCCTCTCCTCGCCCTTCCCCTCAGCCCCAAACCCTATCTAGGTCGGGAGCTGGGGAGCTGGGAGGTGGTGTAGGTACCATGCATGCTCTGAGTCCTCCACATGCTCCCAGCACCACCAGAACTGCTGGTCGGTGGCGGAGGGGGCAGACGGGGGGAGTAGTGCACTGCAAATGGACGAGAGGAGGAGGCAGAGGAGGCTGAGAGAGAGGAAGAGGAAAGGGGTGCAGCAGCAGAGACAGAAGCAGCAGAGGTAGAGGATGAGATGGAGAGGGATGATTGTGCTCTCTGGTGGTGGAGAGAGGAGAGGGACAGACGCGAGGAGTGGAGGGAGTCTGATCGAGAAGACGCTGGGGAGTCAGAGTGCGTGGATGTCGACGAGGAGGGGACGCTATGCAGGGGTGGAGGAGGGGGCAGGGAGAGCGTGGGAGGAGAGGGGCTATGCAGGACCGACTGCGTGCGGCTGTGCTGGGCCTGGGATAACGAGAGGGGCATAGGCGAGGACACGGGCGCCAGGCGCGTGGAGGCTGGCTGGGGAGTGGTGTGTTGCTGGGTTTGGGAGGAGGTAGAGGAAGAGGAGGAGGGGAGACTGAGCAGAGAGTTGAGGCCTCCTGAGGTGGGGAGCGTTGCCCCAAACTGATGGGAGGACACTGAGGGAACCACGTGGTGAAATATACCTGCAAATCATACAGCAGAAATGGAGGGAGGAGGAGGAGGAGGAGGAGGGCGAGAGAGTGGAGACAAGAGAGAGCAGCGGCAAAAAGAGCAGGGGGTGGGGGTGGGGGGACAGAGAGAGAAGCAAGGGCTGAGCCAGGTTGTGCAAAGCGCCAAGCAAGTCTGAGACAAGCACATAGAGAGCAAACAGAGTCAGTCCACTGGAAATGTAACGGAGCCAATTCAGCGCAGCCAGCGTAACGCTGCAGGAAGTGAAATGACTCTGATGCACTAACACACCCGGGGAAAACGCATGCGCAACAACGTGACCTCCATGAAATCAAACGGTCACTCACGCTTTGTTATTAAGGATTTCAATGAAAGTTTTGTGAAAAATGGCACATTTTCCGAGGGTGTTTCCAACTGCATCACCTAAGCGGCCAGTCCACGTCAAAGCAGGGCAGCACAGAGAGTCAGTCGAGAACACTTACCTGGCTCTTTCTCTTGCACGATTGGATATCAAGATGACCCCAAATACACAACCAAGCCCTCCCTCCAACTATTCGCTAATCCCTAGATAACATTGGCTATTAATCAGTGGTTCTCACCTCCAGCTGCTCCCCCTGTCAACCCAGCACTGGAGAAGCTTCCTAGGGCAGAGTGTCCGTTGACAAGCCGAGGGGTCCCAGTCACCGTGGATCCGCCAGTCTGGGCCCCAAACAAAGATTGCAAGACTGAGGTCCCTCCAAGTGGGAACTGGGCCCCCAGGTACTGCCCCACAGATGACCCAGTGCTCGAGGAAACAGCTACAGGACTGCCTCCCACTTTCCCACTAAGAATGCCCCCTCCACTGCTGGCGGCAGCAGAAATGAAGAGGTTCTGACTGGCCAGATTGCCGCTGTTCTTCAGCTCCCAGTCACGGGAGGCCTTCTGCTTCTGGAGGGTCTGGCGCTGGTCTGAACTGCTTCCTCCTTGAGCACTACCAGCACTGCTGCTTCCACCCCTGGTACTTGCCTCCTGACTGAGGAAAGGGTTTGGATTGCTGTAGCTGGACTCTCCATCGCTTCCTTTCCTCACCTGCTGCTGTTTGTGGTCAGAATCTGAGTCTGTGCCCCGACCTGAACCCCCGATGCCAAACGGAGAGCCCCCCTGTCTCAGGTCAGAGTTGGGTTGTTTGGGATCAGAAATGGGCGAAAAGGTGGATTTCCATTTGCTGGTAGAGGACAAAGATGACGATGAGGAGGCTTCACTGCCAGTGCTGTTACCACTGCTGCTTCCTGATTTTCTCCCTAGTGGAGGAGAAAGGAAAAAAACAAACAAACACACAGCTCTCATCATCTAGCAGAAAGGCAGAGAATGATGATGATTATTTCTTAATGTATTCATCATTTCTACCTCGTTCACCATCTCCGAGTCTACCAGATCCATCTCTGCTCTCCAACGATATAGTGGCTATTTTTCTTTCAATTCTGCAAAAACAAACAAAAATCTAAATCAAAATAAGCAGTAACAATATTATAAATATATAAATTTTCAACAGAGCTGACTGAGTCATATTTATAACGGTACAACTTGTGATTAAAATAAAAGCACAAACAGGAAATGCTGAATCACACGGTTATTCAGCAAGGACATTTAAATGACTTCCGATCGATGAAGACACCATCATAAGCTTCATATTACCGAGAACTGGAGCTGTCAACAGGATAACCAGAGTCCTCATCGTCTGAGCTGGGTGCTGTGGAATATCGACCCGTGCCGTTCATCTCCAGGGGGCGCTCTCTCTTCAAGATGGGAGGTTGGTCTAGGTCAGGCCCAACGGGGCTGCGGCTTGATTGCTCTGGAGAGGAGATGGCAGAGATCTCCAGAGGTTGGTTGATGTTGTTCACCTGTTGGCGAAAATAATCACAGTTTACAGTGACGCTGGCGACATCTGTGAAAAACAAAACAGACGGATGGTTACGCTGGAGCAGCAGAAGGTTGTCTGTACGATGGCTAAAGAGGATGTGGCATTGTTATTACGCTATTATTACATTTGTTGTACAGTTTCAAGATCATGCCGCAAAGTGTGCCTCTATTGAACTTTTAAGACTGATGAATTAGCAGTGTGCAGGAGCCTTTAAAACTGCTTATAATATTGAGTATATACTTAATATAGTACAATACTCATAATGTAACTTCAAAGAATCTCATATATGCTCTTTCGTCTCCAGTGCTCACCATGGAGTTGATATTGAGTGGCGATCCTGAGGAGTGGTTGCTGGAGCTGAGCCCAGGGAATGATCTTCTCTTTGGGGATCCACTGGCCATAACAGGCCCTGGGTTGCCACGTTTCCGTCTCCCCCGCTTGCGTCCCTCTTGAGAGCAGAGGCTGTGAGAGGAGTGCGATGACGACGTATGTGTGGGTGTGTGCGCGTGCTGCGTGCTGGGCGATTGGTGGTGGTGGTTTCCATGGTTACTGTGGTATCCCTGCTTGGCCGGGTTGCCGGTGTGGTGGTGGAGGCGAGATCCTCCGGCTGCGCTGCCCCCGCTGCCTGACGAAGAGGAAGACGAGGATGAAGAAGAAGAGGAGGAGAAAAAGATCCTCCTTCGCAGTTCACTTTCCTGGGCTTCTGCGTCCGATTCACCTCCTTGGCCCTCCGGTCCATCTTCTGGAACAATCCTCGGGGGTCCGTCGGCATACTGGAGCACCCCCCCAGTGCTGAGAGGGGGGCTCTGGATCGGACCGCCTCGGCCCACTGTTAAAGTGTTGCTGTGTGGAGGAGGTGAAGAAGTGCCATTGTGGTCCTCGGGGTGCAGACCTCCATTCATCATGCTGGAGATGGATGAATATCCTAACAAAGACCAAACAGTTCATGAAGCTTCACAGGAAGATCAGACTAATATAAAACAGCCTCAATTCACATATTTAACCTTAAGTAAGCAGCAGTAAGTTTTTTCCCAGAGGAATTTTTAGCAGCACCCCAAGGAATATACTCACCCATTTTTAAAGCTGTAATAAAATAAAACCAGCTTTTTTTCTTTGCAAGGAGTTTATTTTGGTAATTATGCTTTATTTGTGAAATGGACAAAAATAATTGGAAAATGCATATTATTCCATGAAATCAGCAAACACAGAATCATCCCCTTTACTGTATGTGGTGACCATGCTTACGCTGCATAGTCAGAGGGCAAAACCGTGAACCGTAAAAGTGAAAAATAAAGAGTCCATCCTTACCATTGGTCTGACCGGTCTGTGACACAGGACTCGGAGTACTTCTCTGAAATCATGAATGCAGAGAATTTATCATTATGAAATCTGAAGGTATGGATTTATTTTGAACTTTAGACAATTACATTAATTAATTGACTAGATAAAAACCTAACCTACACATCTTAATCTTTAAACATAATATTTTTATCGTGCAGCGTTTCACAAGAGGTGCATCAGTGATGTACTATAGGAAAAGTCAGCACACTCACCAGTCTCTCAGCACGACTGGGTAGCACCACACTGGCCAGTGGGATGCTAACTGGTAATTTACTTGGGTGAACAGTGCTCAGTGGGATACTAATAGGAAGGCTTGTAATGCTGTTGTCTCCCTGAACAGATGGACTCCTCTCTTTAATGCCCTGTGTCACAGCACAAATGGGAAAATTACAGCAGTGAAAGACTCAAGGTGTGCTTAAATAAATCGCAAATAAATCGCAGTGAAAATGACACAGGGAAAGATGAAAATTCACCCTCTCTGAGCTTTTGAGGTTATTCTGAGCATCACATCCGTTGGGAGAGGGGCAGTTCTGTTTGGCTCCAAGTGGAGAGTTAACACCACCCAGATCCCTAAAAAGATAAATGATGCTTTAGGATTCAATCTGCAGACAGCAGAAATAAAAATGTTCATACATGTTTGTAGTAGGAACAAACCTATGTGTCGTCAGCCCTGGACCTCTTAAGTGAGCAGAGGCAGTAGGATCCTGGTTAAGGTGCCTACGCAAGGCAATCTTGGCAGGGGAGAAGCGCGTGTAGTCAGGAAGAGCATGAGAGAAGCTTTGCTGCCTCTGTCGAGCATCAGGGGTGGCAGCCACTAATTCATGGTCCGGGGATATGGGCAGGTACCGAGAAAGAAGCTCACCCTTGGAGTTAACACGGTCAAAACAAGGTGAGCTGGTGCCGTTGATAGTAAACTCTGGGCTAACACCGTTGAGAACTGGGGCTGAAGACAGGCCAAGCTTAGAAGAATCCACATCTGTGGAAGCGCGAGACTCCAGGTTTTTTCTATACGGGGAACCTTCGCCCGGGCTGTAGGATTTCAGCTGAAGTAGCTCCTGCTGCCTTTGACTTTTCTCCAGCTCCACAATGCTTATCTACAAACAGACACCAGGGGGAACTATTACACAGGTAAACAGGCTATACCGATGTTAAAATATTGGAAAATGTTTGTCACAATAGCTCATACACTCTTCCTGAAAACCACAGAGCAGTGAGGTGGATTAAAGGGTGGTGAGATGATAGCGGTAGCGGGGCACGCCTCAGAAAAGAGAGACCAAAACACCTGGATATAGATCCAACAATCTGAAGATGTCAGCTGTGTACCTGCAACTCCAAGCAATGTCTCTGCTTCTCGGAGATCTGTTTGCGCAGGGCCTGCTTCTCTTTCAACAAACTCTCCAGACACAAAGAGCCCCAGTCCAGCTTCAACTCCTCACATCGAGACTTCAGCTGAAAAATAACAAGTTACTGTTACTCACTCTCTCTCTCCCATAATGCCGCCAGCCTGTTCGTCCAGCATTGCGCAAAAGTTAAACAGCAGGTACGATGACAGGTGAGAACCGCTGGAGACAATGCTGTAATTAAGGGCTGGAGGATCTGAAGCCTCACCAGCAGCAAGCTGTGGTCTCTCAGCAAAGCCATATCTCTCTCAAGTTGCTTGGTTTGCTCCTTCAGCTGAAGGTTATGGGCTGATATCTCCTTCTGGGCCTGAAGGAGGTCCTCCACAGTCAGGGCTTTTACTCCCAGCTATTCAGCACACACAAAAAAAACACATATTTTTATCAGATGATGATAAAAGAACTGCTCAAAAGAACTGCGTCTAAGTGAGTCTTTGCAGACATCTACTGGCTGAAGAGCTTTCCCTGCTGCAGTAATGTCAAAGTGCATTTTACATTCTAAGTGTTCATATACAGTCACACCTGATGCAGGTGTGCATCCACTCCCCGTTTCTTTTACTCAATTTTTATTATAATTTACAACATTGCAACTTGTACTTGTCAATGTTCACAAGTAGGACAGTTACAGGAACCGCAATGCAGAAATACAGATTAAAATAAGAACTGCAATTAGGAAGCACAAAACAAAACTGGGAAGCAAAACAAAACCCAAGCAAGCCAGCAAACAAACAACAACAAAAAAACCCCAAAAAACTTTATGTAATATTAAATAACATGTGACAATCTTAGCCATAAATGAACAAAACAAAACAGACCTATGCTAAATTATTGAAACAGTAAAGCATGTATGGGTCGCCAACGCTCAGTAAACAATTCTCTCTGAATTCACAGAGCATATGTTATTTCCTCCATTTGGTAGGTGGATCAAGATTCAGCCATTTAATAGTAATACACTTTAGTGCTGCTGTAAGCAAGATTCTTAAGAGATACTTTTTATTGTTTCCCGCAAAACCATTTGGTAATACCCCTAAATTGGCTAGCTGTTGGTCTTTTGTTAATGGTTGTTGGAAAACTGCATTGATTTAAATATGTCATTCCAAAATGAGCAGATTTTTGTGCATGACCAGAATATATGTGAGTGGGTTCCTAAATAAGTACCACAATTTTGCCAGCAGGTATTAGGATTTGTAGGCTTCATTTTGGCAATTATCTCTGGGGTTCTAAAATATCTCATGACCACCTTCCATTTAAATTCTCTCCACAGCCCAGAATTAGTCACAAGATGGGCTTCACTGAACACCTCTTCCCAGGTGTCCTCTGAGATTTGAGTGCCAGTCTCGGCTTCCCACCTTGCCTTAATATCCAAAGTTGCACTTGTATTGAAACTCATAAATGCGTTATAAAAATTGCTGATTAATTTTGGGGAGGAATTACTTTGAAATATTTTTAGAAATTTTCCTCAATGGGTGAGGGCTCTAAAACTTGCCTCCATTCTTTATGTTTTGTCAAAAATCTTCTTAGCTGCAGAAATCTAAAAAAGTCAGATGAAGGAAGCCGAAACTGACCTCTCAACTGTTCAAATGAGCTCAAGTGCCCATTCCTCACAACATGACAAAATTTATGAAGCCCATTATTTGACCATGCTCTGAAGCCAGAGTCTTCCACAATAGGAGAAAAACCCTGCAGGGAGGAAACTTGATCAAATTGAAATTTCTTTTGGAAAACCAAATGATTGTTTGATTCTACGCCAAATCTTTAGTGTGACCCTTGTCCATTCCCCCATATGCAAATTTTTAATTGAAATGTTAGAAAAAAGCAGGGATTCCAATGATCTTTCACACATTGTCTTCTCAATGTTTAGCCACTGAGTTTCAGACAAATCCCACACCCATACAATCAGGGGTCTCATCTGAGCTGCCCAGAAATAATATTTCAGATTTGGAACAGCCAACCCCCCTTGCAGTTTTGACAGTTTTAATGTTTGGAACTTGATCCCTTGGGCGTTTGCCTTGCCATATAAATAAAAAGTTTATCTAAATTATCAAATGTAGAGTTGGGAATGTTAATAGGCAGCATTTGAAAAAGGTATAGAAGTCTTGGCAATACATTCATACGTATACTCTCGATCCGACCCAAGAAAGACAGAGGCAGGACTGTCCATCTCTCTAAATCTTTTTTTTATTTTTGCAACTATAACTTCATAATTTACTTTAAACAAGTCTGATAATGAGTGAGGAATTTGAATTCCTAAATACTTGATACCTTCGTTTGGCCATTTAAAGCCACATCGCTCCTTGAATGTTTGTGAAATGTTTCCTCCTATATCCATTGCCAATGTTTTGTCAATGTTAACTTTGTAACCAGAGACGTAACCGCATTTACTAATAATTTCTTTTAAATGAGGTACACCGACTGCAGGATTAGAAATGTATAAAAGTACATCGTCTGCATAGATGGACAATTTATGCTGTTCTCCATTAATTGAAAGGCCCTGAATTTCATGTTCATCTCTAATCAACTGCGCCAGAGGCTCAATACTTATATCAAACAGCAGGGGCGACAGTGGGCATCCTTGTCTACACCCACGTTCCAGTGGAAATCTGGCTGATATTGTTCCATTTACCCGTACAGTCGCCATTGGGTTGGAATAAAGAATCTGTATCCACTTAATTAAGTTTGGCCCAAATTTGAATCTTTCAAGTGTATGGCCCAAGTACTGCCAGGAAACCCTGTCGAATGCTTTTTGCGCATCAAGAGACAGAATCATTGTTTCTTCTTGTTTAGTTTTAAGTTCAACAATCTACAAACATTGTCCCCATAGTGCCTTCCTGAACCCCGTTTGATCTGGATTTATAACATGTGTAATAATTTTACTAAATCTTTTGGCTAAAATTGTGGTGAGAATGCGCAAATGAGTATTAAGTAATGAGATTGGCCTGTATGATTGACAGTTTGTGGGGTCCTTGCCCTCTTTATGGATTACGACAATTGTAGCATCGTTCCGTGACGGCGCCATAGTCCCAGTCTCCAGAGCGCAGTGGTAAGCTTTCAGTAATAAGGGTGCGACTTTGTCCTTAAGTTTTTTATAGAATTCGTTAATAAAACCATCAGGGCCAGGACTTTTTTTAGTTTTAAGGTTTGAAATCACCTGTAAAATTTCTTGTTCTCGAATTGGTTCATCTAACTCCTTTGCTACAGATTCTGGCAGTGTTTTTAAATTGATCTTTTCTAAGAAATCAGATAGTGTATTTTCATCTTTACATGTATCTGAAGTTTTATATGACTCGAAAAAATTGGCAAAGCAACTTGCAGTTTGATTTGGTTTAGTAATTAGGGTTTGATCTGACTTCAACTTTTGGATCATATTACAAGTTTGCTGTTTCCTGAGTCTTACTGCCAGTAATCTACTAGCCCTACTACCCTGTTCATAGTACTTTTGTTTAATGAATCTTAAATTGCCCTCAATTTTCTCGTTTATTAAACTATTAAGCTCCCGACGTAATATTTTAAGATCGGAAAGCAAATTGGCTGTCTGTGCTTTTTTGTGTTGTTGCTCTAGGTGTTTTATTATGGCCTCCAATTCACCCCGCCTAGCCTCTTTTCTTTTTTTCCTGGCACTTGCAAATGATATTATGCAACCTCTAATGTATGCCTTGGCGCAATCCCAGAGGGTTAAAGGCGATATCTCTGGAGTTGTATTCAACTCCAAGTAAGTATTTAGTTCAGTATGTATGAACTCACAAAACTGGCTATCATTTAGGAGTGAGGCATTTAATCGCCAAAGTTTTAGTTTTGGTGTCAAGTCCCATGAGAATGATAACGGTGCATGGTCAGATAGTGTAATTGGTAAGATTTCAATATTGTCAATTCTATGCTCTTCTGGGGGAAACCAGTACTCCATCAATAGAGCCGTTGACCATAATGTACCTCCCATGTGGGTCTCTATATGTAGTGAGTGGGGTGAAGTTTATCGGTCTGTGTACTAGGATAGCCACACCTCTTTTCCTGCCAGAATTGTGAGATGAAGGAACTTCATCTCACAAATCCATAGGAACTCTGTTTAAAAGTTTAAGATTGTCTTTGAGAGCAGATTGGTAACTTAAGTGCCTATTATTGATGCAAATTAAGCTGGAATGTGCAGAGGCTCTGAAGTAAGCGTGTTCACTCCATCGCGCTCGCTAGCGCCCCCCCGTTTCTTTTGACCATGTTTATCCTCAGGTGGGACAGAGACGGCATGAGTTTTAAGCCCGTCTACAATTCCCATCCGTTTGATAATCTGCAGTTTTTGAATATACATGCTATAAAAAGTTGAATGAAGCATTTTCTGTAGATTTCTACTAAAAAGTGTTACTGCATCAGGTGGGAGCAACATAGCATCACTTCTTACCTCATCCAGTTTAGTCTGAAAGAGACCTTTGATCTTCTCCTTGTGAGACTGACAGACCAAATGGAGCTGCTCCGCCTGCCCTGATAGGTCCCTGTGTTTTTGCTAGAGTGAGTGGAAAGCAGATATAATAATATAAATGTATATACAGAATTTAGCGAGGTGAAGATGACCTCACTATGCAGTCTGTTGAGACAATAATTACCTTCTCTTGGTCTAAAAGTTGTTGCAGGTTGGAGCGGTACTGAGGAGTCTTCATGTAGGCCATAAACTGGAGGTACTGAATTTTGATATTGTCTGTAAAAGAAGATCAAAGTTGGAGACAGAGAGAGACAGACAGTTTAACAAATATGTTTGCTGTTGATTGGAGAACTGCAGAACTGTTGTTTTGTTTGCCTCTTCACGTTTTGGCCTCATTCTATAACGTGTGCCTAGAAATATTCTGACCCTGTGCACAAAAAAAGTGCACATGCAAAAATGACTGCTAGAAATAATGAAACATGCACACCAGCTAATTTTCTTCTTGTCACAGTTTAAAATGTGGATGAGGCTCAACATGTTTGTTCGTTTGTTTATTTCTGTAAACACGGCTCATATCAGTCTCTGGTGTTAGCTGGTCACGTAAAAGAACAACAAAGATGCAATAAATGCTGACGTGCAACTGAAGTTGAGGATGTGGAGAAAGCCCACCAACGCTTTTATTTTTTATTTTTAGTGTTCTGTGGTGAAATGGCTGCCACTTATTTCTGATTACTGTTCTTTTGTCAGGGACCACAGACAAAAACAATGATGGCATCAGAGTGAAACAGGCCAGGTACCAGACTTAGAGAAAAGCTTATTTTCATTTGCACATTTACAACACAAGTATAATAATATCAAAGACCATTCATGCAAATCCTAAAAACTCAATTTTTTCAAGGGATTAAATAAAAAAGGAGAACTGTGCAAAAGCAGAGCTTCTTTAGGAGCCCTCCACTCATCCTCAGTGGCGACCTTAAAGCTAAGTTCTTACAAAGTTCTTACAAAACCTTTCCCAGTTGGACGTTCAGTATTGTGAACTAGTTTGACAAGATTACCATTTGAGTACAAAATCTGGTTCTCAAAAATAAATATTCTGTACTTCCAATACACCTCTGTATGTAGGTGTGTGTGGAGGCGGAGTCACAGCTATGAGTGGATAGCTCACGATGTGAATGTATTCACTGAAAAAGATCTCATCCAAAAGTTCAGCACAACGAGAATCATCCTAACCAGCAGGCAACACACAAAAGTCAGATCAAGTTCTCTTTTATTAAGTCTTTAGTTCACAACCACAAACAGAAGTGGCGTTAAAAAGCTTTAGGCTTTGTTAAATTTCCTTATAGATCCATCACACCACACTTCCCAGAACTTCTGTTCATACTGATATATAAAAGCTGTTGCTTAAATCAGTAACCTGCATTTCATATAACCATGTGTATATCTGGTATGGTGCATGTGGTTTTTCAGCATCGCAGTTAAAGAAAAAAAAAAAATCAATCGGTGTCTTCATTGACTTACCTAGCAGTTTTTCCAAACCAGGGGGAGTTGGGCTCAGCAGAAGTTGACTAGGGGTATAGTGCTGGACCTTGGGAGGTAGCTGGTAGAAGGGACTCTGAGGTGGTCGGTATGCATCTGTACGCATAGTAATATTTTCATTAGTAACATCAATAAAAGTCCTGTTTAGGAAATAATACAGACAGCATATTGTGTGTGTGTGTGTGTGTGTGTGTGTGTGTGTGTTAGCGCTCTTACCCTGAGGGGGTGCTGCAGAAAGGGTCTTGGCATGCAGCAAATCCAATGCACTCTGATTCTTCTTATTTTTCTTCTCAGCAGCTGGGGTAGCTTTCTTGGGTCGACCACGTTTCTTATTGTTCAGCTTGCGACCTTTGGCCAGGAGTCGCGTTCTTCTCGGTTTAGCGGAGGGCTTGACCACAGTCACCAAGCTAGGACGCTCCTCTTCACCACAGGAGTCCTGCTTTATTACACAAAGAGATAACAGTCACATAGAGAACACAGAGACCTGTCTCACAACGCTGACCGGCTCGTCCGGGTTTACAGAAATTAATTCTCATTCTTGTACCTTGTTTGGTTCCTTGGGTTTTGTAGGCGTGGTACTATTGCTTTTACTGTCCTTCGTGTCCTTCTGCTGACGTCTTCTAGCTGCCTCTTGCTCCTCCTAACAGAAGATGAATCAATTTACTAGTCTGATCCAAAAAACGTAGTAAATACAGGGACTGTCAACACACTGAAGAAGACTCACCCTGAGTTTAGGATTTTTGAGACTAGCAAAGTAGTTTTCAAGCTGGAAGATGAGAAAAGGAAAATGTGGGTATTAGATTAAGAGTCCTTATTTACACGTTTGTAACAACACTTAAAGAATCAGGTGCATGCTCGTTTCACACTTCTGACTGAAAAAAGCAAACACACTAAATAATTAAATTTAGTACAATTGGTACGTAAAATGTGTTTTGTGTCATCGCCAAATAAAACTTCATAAAGAGTGAGACGGAGAGGGCAAACGGCATCAGGTGGTGACAAGAAACACATCTGCATAATGAGACTGTCACAAGCATTTTCCAGGCAGCCTGCCAGTTTTCTCACTGGGATTTCAACAGGTAACCAGGGATTACTTTCACCAGTTACTGGGATGACACATATGTCACGGTAATCTAATAAGCACATGTCTGCCTGTGAAACCTCAGATTGCTTACTCTCAAGATACACTACTCATTAAGATGATACCAGCTGTTATTATGGCAGCTTATCTCTTGAGTTTAGGTTACGGTTCGTCTCTAATGGATAATTTATTTGTGTTGCTTTAGTAGTCAATTATTTTTTATTGAGCTGACGAGATCCTCTCTGTTAGGATTTCACGTGTGGGCGCCTGGGATCACTTCCTCTCATTACAGAAACAAAGAGAAGCATGGGTGCTTACTATGGTGCGGTCTATGGTATGCAGGTAGTAGGAAACTGGCTTTCCAGTCCAGGAAACAGAGCCTCTGAGTGGAGAAAGCTCCACCACACGCATAATTGTGCCAATATCTGCAGGACAGAAGAGAGGAATATCACACGGAAGTCTAATTGACCCTTAAATAATATTTATTTATTTTTTTAAATAAATTGGGTGCTTACCACTCAAGTTTCGACTGTTGATTCTGAAGTTTAAAGGTGCAAAGGGTTTGGAGGATACAATTTTCCCTCCTGGGGAAATAGAAAAACAAATGCACATAAATTCCTTACATGTGTTGTACACACCACAGCTTTTTCAGCTCATTACTTGACGCACGCATGGTAATTTACACAATCACTTTAACTATCTATGGATGGATCTCATGAGCCATTTTTAGCTTAATTAACAATGAGAACAGCTGAAGAATTAATCACTACCAACACTACAAAAACATGATGCTTTATATAAACAAAATACTACATGCACCTGCTTTCAAACTGTTTTTCTATCTTTGATTAATTTTCTCTAGTTTTCAATAAAGGGTTTCAATTTAGTTTTGCTGGGAAATTTGAAAATACCAAATTAACAGAGAGCAGATTGTGGAGATTAAAGAAAAAGTGGACACATCTCCTCAAATGATTTTTAAAATAATGCTCTGATCCAAACATGACATACAAAAAGTGGTGGGTCTGAATATAATGCAGAAATTGTATGTTTGTGACTTTGAAGCTGAAACATTGTTGACTCTATAGAACACAAATTCATCAATGTGCCTAACAGACCGTCAGTGCAACATAATTTATGCTCAATTTTTCTGATAATTCTGATCAGAATTTAGTGATGATCTATATATTTTCCAATTTAAGAGCCTTGTGTATGTCTGAGTGTTTTTTAACTGAAAGATAAAATAACGCAGATGTTTTAAAGTACAAACAAATAATGAGTAAGTAGTGTAGTCATTAGCTGAAAAGTACTAACCTTCCTTCATGTTAGCAAAGCGCTCCTTCAGCTGGTGATCTACCTCTGGACCAAAGGCAAAGTTATTCACAAAAATAATACTGGAAAACAGACAAGAGGAAATACTTCACAGTTCAATTCACAGTAAAAATGGTTACCTCAGGATGTAATGAATGACAAAAACAGTTAAGGAGGCGATTTTCTGATTATATTTTGATTAGATTCAGATTCTAAACGGCCTTATTTGCAGAAAAGCATAAATGGAGATTTTGTCTTTCAGTCTGTCACTGTGATCAGGCTTTGTACACCACCTTGTGTTGGCGATTCTTTCTTTCCACTCTTCAGACAGAAAATCACCTCTTTCCAGCTGAAACAAATTGTACGGTTATGGAAAAAGTCCTGAACACCTGTGAATCTACAGAGCACCTGAATTGGTTTCTTCTGAACGTGTGCGCAATGAAAGTGCAACTTGTGTCACACAAGAACCAACTTACTGTGTACTCCCCGTGTTTCTTCCCATACCATTTCATCCATTTTTTAAACTCTTTATCCATGGTCTGAAACAAAGAACAGAAACAATATCAGAACACTTGATACAAAAATTCAAGTTTTTAAAAGTCAAAATGATGATAATGCGAGAGCTGTGGAGGCATTTCTAGAAAGAGAGGAAGTAAACAAATAGCCCCCAGTTAAAGTTTGGATACTGGGTTCTAAAAAAACGCCCTTTCAGTTACCAGAATGACTCGAGCATGAGTTTCACACTTACGATTAAAACTAAGACTTTGAGTTGAATTTCCACCCAGTCGGGAGACATTAATTCAAAGCAGGGATGTCTATCTGAAGCTGGGGCACTACTCACCAGTCTGTTATCTGCTATATAGTCAAACCGGCACTGATTGCAGTCAGACACTACAGTCACATTATGATAGAGCTGCTGGAAGTTTGAAGACCGCTTAAGGTTCAATCCAGCTGCGTCAGACATTTACAATCTTAATTGAACTCAGTTTAGTGCTTTAGTGCAAGTGTGGAACAGGTTTATGCACCTTGTTTGGTGCAGCGCGACAGGGCAAACAAATGCTAACAAAGAAACCAGTTTGAAGGCTGGTCTGAAGAGGAAATAAACAGCAGGTGCTCTTTCTGCTAGACTACGCTCTAGTTTAGAGCTGTCTATAGTAATCGGTGGCTTTTCACTAAAACAAATTTAAATGCAGTGATTTTCAATCCCGTGCTGCTGGGTCTGTATATCTGTCATGTGAGATAATGGAGTTACCTCTGCATAGGTAGCTGGAATGTCTGCTTTCTCTACACCGTAGTAGTGTTTACAGTTGGTTGCTGCTGCAACCTGCAGCACCACCTGCCCTACTCCTGCAAATATGAAACAATTTCTTTAAAAATACATAAACACACCAAAGCTGCCAGACTTGCTATTTATGCTGGAGTTCTGAATCTTACAATTTCAGACATTTTCATAGTTCTTAATTAGCATTTTTATCCAAGTAACCCCAAACACACTTTACTGGAGTACTTTTAAGAAACAAAGACAAACCTCAGGTGCTTCTACTAAGTGGTTAGTATAGAATGAAATGTATAACAGCAAACTAACCACTGCCAAGGTCAACAAAGGTGTCTTCTTCCATCATTTCCATTTCATCAATAATCTGGGCCACCAGGTCGAAAGAGGTCTCTCCGTAAACCTCGGGGGAGAAGGGTTCATAGTTGTTGAGTTTCTCTGGGTCGGTCACTGAGTGGTTGTACACCTGCTGTAAGATATGTCTCAGCAGCCCATTGGAAGGACGCTTGTTTAGCTTCATGGGCTGGGTGGTCCCTTTCCACTGTAAAACAGGATTTGCATCAATTACATAGCGCCCCCAGAGAGTGCACTCCATCCCTTTTTATACCTTTTAGGAGTTTTCAGACTCATTTTAAACAGTATCATCTTAACGTATTCAATTATTTTTCACAATTAACCTGCACACATGATAAATACAGGCTTTTTGAGTGGTTTGTACAACTGTTA